TAGTTCTTATACTTGATATCGATGATCAACTTGTCTATGGGTTGATCTTCTCGAGACTTGTGAGGGGAACGTTGATAGTTTCAGCCGAAGCTCTTGTATAGTCCCTCGATGTCCTTCTAGATGATGATGATCTGGATTCAGGTGTCCTTCGCGATGCCTTCGCTGAAGCTTCCTCAAGGCGTCCGTCCGGGAACGACGATATGACCTTCGAAGGCTTCCGTGGATGTCTGATGGTCCGAGTCCACATCTAGGGATGAAACCGCGATAAGGTGATGATTCTATCCTGCCTTCGCCGGGTCCTTCGCGAAAGGCTGTACATCTAGGTTCTTTCCGCCTTCGCCAAGGCTGTACATCTAGGTCCTTTCCGCCAAGGCCTTCGAAGGCTGTACATCTAGGTCCTTCAGATCAAGGTGGTCCGCGACTTCCTTCGCTGAAGGTGACATCGCCCCTGGCTGCTACGCTGACGGGGGTGCCTCTGGGGTGCTGTTCACGCTGGAGCCTTCGCCGGCGTGCTCGACCCTGCTACCGCGAGATATAGTGGTCATCCATGATGTTCATAATTTGTCGCGATCATGTCTTCTGGGATGGTCTGCGCACGCGAGGTCGCCGGGTGCTTTATCTGGCGGTGTTAATGGAGGGGTCCACCGGAAAATCGTCCGACATCAGTGTAGAGGCATCAGGCTGCATGGTGATCTCTGCTGATGTCGCTGTAGCTGTCACCGGTCGCTTCTTGTGGCGACGCGAGGGGATGATGATCAGCTGATCATCGTGAGAGGTCCAGGTCATCGGCTGGAACAATCTCGCTGAGAAAGTCCTAGTAGACTTCGCTGATTTTCCTCAGAGGTCGACGCTGCCCTGGGTGTCGCGACGCTCTGCGTTAGTGTTGGTAATGATGGGACCCCTCAGGACGATCATCGCGATATCTCGCGTTGGTACATCAGGCTGCATGCTGATCTGAGCCGACATCGGGTCAATCTTTGATGTACATCTGGTATGATGACCGGCTGATCATCAAACAGGCCCAAACCGCGATGGGAACGGTCTCGGCTGTTGAGATGTGGTAGAAAACCCTCTAGTCTTCTGCTGCGACGATGGGATGTCTGGGGAAGCAGGATGCTTTGGAGATGCGATGGACTACGCCCCACACCTCTCCACCACTCTAGCGAACACCACACGGGAGGGGAGTCGGCCAACAGCAGTAGACTGGCGAGGGTTCCGTGTATCAGTCATACTAGAGTCTGCATACACGCGACCTATCTGCTAAAGCGTACAAACGCAGCAAATATTAATAAAAGGTAGAATTGATAAATTAGTACCGCGAACTGCAATGTGAATATAATAAACATGGCGTAGTACATCATATTAAAGGCGGATCAGCAGCAGCATAAAACGTAATCTGCAATAGTACAGAATTTTCATCAACGTGAATCCACTGAAACAAACACGGCGCCCCGTGAATAAACTGTAGAAAACGACTAAATATCAATATATAATCGCTGAAGGATACTAGCTAAAACCTCTATAGATGTCTATAACGAGGTAACTAACTAAATATATTTCAAAGGATATAGTGTGTCGGAGACACAGGCGCCTCACGCCCAGCTCACTGGGCTAAGAAGGAGAGAGTGAGGCACATGGGTAGAGGGGCCTCTCGCTCCTCAGCTTGTGAAAAGGAGGTAACTCGTGGTGAATACTAATTAGTGATTTTAAATTGAAGGAGCTTCAATTAGGAGATACAAGTGTTCCACCATGTTCGCAAGAAGAAGAAAAAATTCATAGTTTGCAATTTACATTTTCAGGTTAATTTACCTGTGTTTATGACTTTAAAAAATATTCTTTATTCATAAATTGCAATAATTTTCATAATTGAATAAAGCATGTGTGTAGTAACTTGGTGTGGTTTAATGAACTCATCTTCCGATACAAGTCATTTCATGCTGCTTGATGTCAATCATTGGATTGTCTGGTCCAGACTTGATTATTACAGATCATCATCATTTAGATGGAAAATTACTGTGAAGAGTGTTAAACAGACAAAAATAATAGTGTCAAATAAACAAACAAAAATACTTTTCGTTTCTTCTGACAGTTCATTTCTGCATGGTTGGTTAACTCAGAGATACCAACCCTCACTGAAGTTTAAGACTGACTGACTGACTGAGTTTGGTTTTACGCCGCTTTTAGCAATATTCCAGCAATATCATGGCTGGGGACACCAGAAATGGGCTTCACACATTGTACCCATGTGGGGATTCGAACCCGGATCTTCGGCGTGACGAGCCAATGCTTTAACCATTAGGCTAGCCCACCGCCCCGAAGTTTAAGAGTAACCAGCTGTCTAAGAAAGACTAATTTCATGACTAACTTATGCGAATTTCTAATCTGAGGTTTGCTTCTATGAGTGTGTTAAGCCTAGTCATAAGTGATTCATTGGCCTCAGCTGCACACACTATTAAAACCTTCATGATATTTATTCAATTATTTTATCCACAAAGAGGAAGTATTTTGGGTTCTGGGATGAATACAATGTATACACAATTAGTTTCCTGCCTGAATCCACAAAGATCTATCAATATGATGACCAGGGTGTGTTTAAACATAACAACCAATCAGAAGCCTTGTATCACTGTATAATGGATACTTTAACACAATGTGAACTGAAAGCAAGGCTCTCATTGGTCAGTACAGTCTTGCATAGAATGCTTAAAATCTGTCTATGGTATTTCATGCATTAGACCTTGAAAATGTGATAAAACATTAATTTGGAAGAGGACAAGTGCTATAGTGTAATATTGGGCTAAAAATTTGACTATTATGCCAAAATCAAAATAGTTGGTATCTCTGGTTAACTGCTCATATCAGAAATGTCTACTACTGAATGATTCATGCATCTTGCTATCTATCAATCAGTTCAAATAAAACCACACCAACACAAGTTTAAAGAACCCTCATTTGGTATTAAACATTACTGACTTCACTATCTTCAGAAATTGATCTTTGGACTGTATTGAGGAGTCACAAGGCTCTGAAGCTCACCTTTATTTTCTGAAGTTCAGATGCATTTAGGAATGGGTGCTTGCAATTTATTCCAAGAGTGATTCAGATTCCATAATATATAACAACCATTCATTCATCTGTAATTTCTTACAGAAGTAATAAGAACACACTTTTCTAACATTTCTGTAGTCATTTTGTTGGATGTTGCTATGGTTACAGTGCACATGTAATTAACACTTGACATACAGGAGGCCGGTCCTAAATAGTGATGCTTTCTTACCAGAACTGCAAATTTCCAAATGTCAAAACTCTGACTTGTCACTTATGTGAACTACGTCAACAAGAATAAATATGCATGATTCCAAAACTCAATAATTATTCATGAAACTTGTTATGTAAGTACTATTTCGCGATTTTGCATACAGGTACACTGGGAATACAGAACACTTGAATGTGATAATTTATGCCATAATATCACGGCAGGTTCAGCAGACATGTGAACTAGTTTCACTCATTGAACCGGGGAAACAGCTTTCACTTATTGAACCCGCAGAAGCAGGTTTCACATATTGAACCTGTGTAGGGAACAGTGAGTGAGTGAGTGGGTATGGTTTTACGCCGCTTTTAGCAATATTCCAGCAATATCACGGCGGGGGACACCACAAATGGGCTTCACACATTGTGCCCATGTGGGGAATCGAACCCGGGTCTTCAGCGTGACGAGCGAACGCTTTAACCATTAGGCTACCCCACCGCCCCCGTGTAGGGAACAGAACCTGGTCTCGACAGTGACTACAGGCTACTCCTCCACTGTGACGAACAGTTGACCTACAGTACAGCCGTGAAACAGAATTTCAGGGACAGACTACTGTAATCGTATATATTTTCACGGGGTGCAAATTTCGTGGAAAGTTCACCAAAGACCGGTTAGCGCAGTTGTTTTTTCGCGCATTTCAAACACCTGAGTGATGGTATCCATCACAAAGTTTTCACAACCAATAGACATGTAATGATCAAAGCTAGCCGCCATAATTGAATCGTGTTTACTAAAACAATAAGAGAGAGAGAGGTGGGATTATACTTGTGTCAACATGACAACACCTGTCCCATATGCGAGATTACCTGACAACAATTAAGGAAGAGTGTATACCAGTACTTACAATAATTAAACATAGAAATCATAAAGTAGTGTTTGTTGTTTATGAACCCGTGTTGTTCACATGGTCAAATCGTTGATTGGCTGCATTAAACAAATTGCATGTTGTTCCTACTTGTGTATTTGTCTGAAATTTGTCATGACTTGACTATGAATATTTCGCTTGGTATGATTATTGACGCATGATCTTCTTGTGCTAAAAGCGCGAAAATTAATCCCACGCGAAAATAACTACGATTACAGTATTCAATATTCTTCAGAGATGACTGTGTTTGGAGACTTAATATAGTCAGCTAGAGATGCAAAACCAGGCACTTTTACAACTATGAGTCTAAATATTAGGGGGTGAAAAAGACATCTTGGAACGATGAATTTTGGTGGCAGCATATTTTTTTCGTCAGTCTGCTGATGAATTACTTTCTCCAGATGAAGGACAGCATGCCATTACAAAAGATCTCATCATGAACCTTTGATTCAGGTGAGCTACAGCAATCTCCATCCAAGCAGGTACAAATGTGGGTTCCTTAATACATTTAAATATCACTTTAACTTTACAATACAAACTGAAAGCAGATCCTTAAAATGATCTTCCAATTCTCAGATTATCCTGAGTATGGTTTTACGCCGCTAATAGCAATATTCCAGCAATATCACGGCAGGGGACACCAGAAATGGGCTTCACTAGGTACCCATGTGAGGTATAAACCCAGGCCTTCAGCGTGACAAGCTAACACTTTAACCACAGGGCCACCTCACAACTCCCCATGTTATTCTGATGATTATTATGACTACTGTCAACTGATGACATCAGTGTTTACATAATTTACATCATCAGGTCCGATCTTACCTCCTCGTCCTTGTACCACGACATGTTCTCCGCAGAGAGAACAAACCAGAAATCCTTCGACCCTCCCTTCATAAAGCTGACATTGTGTAGGGTGAGCCAGCCTTTCCGGATCACCTGCAACAGATCAAACAATTGTAGGAAATATTCTCAAACTTTCACAAATTTTGTTCGGACGAGCCCCCAATTTTGTTACGGTTAATAAATTGCCGTGACAACAGGTATAAGAACTCCCCATTGAACCAGCAAAATAAAACACAGACAAGTCTAAAATATTCAATAATATATTGAGCAAACAATGAGCAAGCTACAATGAATCACAATACAGATTTCTAGTACAATGCCATTGAGTCACAAATCTAAAGTAATGGGTCACATATAAAATATTAACTCACCAGAGTCGTGGTAACCACAGTGAGATCAGATATTCTAAATGGAGCTTGTTTATAAATGAGAGCAGTCAGGCATGAAGTGTCAGGGTCAGACGATGGCGATGTGACGAAGGACGAAAGGCAAACAACGATGGGCAACTCCAGTGATATCGAAAAGTCCCGTGTAATTCCATGTGTTAGTCCGTGTGTCGCACCACACAACAGCCAGCCTTTATATACATTGTATACTGACACAGATTCTGAACTTTCCAGCAAAGCATTGCTGTATCATTAACCACTTAGATCTTTCTCGAAACATGTTGAACATACGACACGACGATGTCAACACATAAACATCCGGTCAAGGGAGGTAACTCTGGAGCGCTATCATAAAAGCGTGCCGCTAAAATACTGTTGCCACTGAACATATATGACACGAAATGTGACCCACAACCAACACTTAAAACTTTAAACATTGTGACTCATAATTATTATCACCTAACCAATGTTATTACAAATTACAAAAAACACACTCTCGTAACAATACAAATGATACAGCCACACAACCATGTTTGCTTAACATCACACTCAGCACTATTCAAGCTATATAGTGGTCCTCTGCAAATAATTGAGGCTGGACTAGACAATCCAATGATCAACATCATAGATCAACACGGTTGGGATACGATGACATGCAACCAAATCAGCGAGCCTGACCGCCCAATCCTGTTAGACTCTTACGACAATTATGGGTACATGAAGACCAATTCTAACCTAGACCTTCACAGGAGTCACACTACCAATGAAGTTCACAGAATTTCCACAGGAAAAAATAACGAAAATATTTAAATGCTAACGCTGTACGGTTTTAAATTACATTTAGCGGTCTTAAATCAACGATAAAGGACCGCAAAATTGAAAACAGAGTAGCTTTATCTTATAATTCCAAAGAATATAATTCCAAAGAACTCGGTATTTATGGTCAATTATTTAGGCATTTCTGCCAGTGGTAGAAAGGAATACTTTTTGCCTACCTGGTTGCCCAATCGCTTCTTGTTGACCTGACTCTCTGACTTCTGCTGAGCACTGTAACACAAAACCATTTATGTCAACACTTTGAAAGGCATGCTCAATACTTGTCTACTAGCACTCTGATCACAGAGCCTCAATGTTACTGGATAGATCCAGCATATTATATTTCTCAAGTTCCCTAACACAAGCACTTTACCTGGTCACAGCAACAGGAATCATTCTTACATTTGTGGATATAATGTCTGTGTTTTAATCCCTGGTTGCAGTGTACCAACAATGTTAGAAGATGGAAATTGTTGTTACCCTACCTGGATCGTGGTTTTATGGGTACACAAGGACTGGCCAGCTCAGAGTCGATAATAATAATAACAATTCATTAACATAGCGCCTAGTATCCATCTGAGTATTTGCTCACTGGATGCTGTAATCAGAACCTGATTATTATTACCCCGGATAACCCAAGCTGCCTGTAAGGTAGTCAAGGTTAATAGTCCAAGGACTCACCGCACTCAATGTTGTATAACTTGGGCTGATTTGTGACCTGAGCTCTATGTACATGACCACACACACGATACAAATATCTTAATGTATCTACATTAAACTGCATGATGTAAACTTACTTGGACTCGCTGGAGAGTCGAGGGCAGTGTGTCAACTTACTTACAGCTCGCTCAGCTTGACCTGAGCTACTCTACACATGCATGACCCGGGAGGTCAAATTGCACAAACGGCAGGTCGAGTTAACTTCATTAAATAGGGGAGCAAAGATGGTTATTAATGTTGTGTTCGTGCAAAACATGCATGCATGGATTCGTTACAAAACTTGTCTCGGAAAACAACACTTCTGAAAAAACACAATCATTTCATGTTTTAATCCGAGTTGTTTATACAGTCATATGCTATCTAGTTTGGTTTACTAACTTTACAACTTACAGACGTCAGTTACTTTAACAATCCGATTCACTCTCGCTGTCACTCTCTACACCCAGTTCAATTATCACTTTTTCTTTTTCTATTTCATGTTCAACTCCAATATGTTTGTAGCTTCATTTTAAAAGAAAGTTAGGATATTGCTGACGATTTCTCGACACTGGCGGTGTGAAACGGCGACCTTGTCTCGGCTGTTCGGACATGTTGACAATCAACTGACAAAGGTGCACCCCTTCACAATAATAGACCCAACCAGCTGTGACACGGTCATGCAATTCATTAGTATTCACTTGATCAGGTCAAGCCGAACAAGCTGTAGGCAGTCTTTTATTAGAGTCAGTGACAAAAAGTAAACTTACTTGGCAAAACCAATGAAATCCTCGTGATTCGTGTTCATGTACGCCAGCTGGATTTCAATCAGACTCTTTATTTGGTCTTTAGTGACCTGTTCCCGTTCCCGGATCTTTGTATTTACAATTCTCTCGATCTCCTCTCGCAACCGTGGGTAGCGACTCATCTGAAACAGGAGACAGCGAGTACGTTATAAATATAGGCTGGGTGGTGAAAATGTTTCAGGGCAGAAAACAAGGTCGGCCAAAGCCATCATATTTTATTGAAGTATCTCACTGGGAAACATCTGCAGTAACCATCCCCGTAATTTCTGTGTAAGATGTGGCAGACAACTACAAAGTTGTCTAAACTGTGCAGGGGAAGTCTGACTATGAAACTATTTTTTGTCAGGTTTATACTATTTACAGATGAAAGAAAGCATAAGAACAGTAAAAAAACTTAAACAATAATTAATCACCATAAATCTTGCTTTCTTATGCATTCCACTTCAAAATGCCCTTCAAAGATTTGAAAGAAAGCTTGCAATAAATAGCGGAAGCAGAGCTCCAGATAAGATTTAGCTCATGTGGGTACTGCACCCACTGTATTTTTTTGGAGTGGGTATTATGAATGTTGAGTGGGTATTTCATTTTCTGTTACCCACTGCTTTCAAATATGTGCATATTTCAGTCATTTTACTCACCTAAGTATTATGTCATTGAGCAAGTTTACTAAGCAGGTATGTTCTGCCTTATGTCATACCTAATCAAAACCAACTTAAATATAATGGAAATGATTTCATAAAAAAAATCACTTATCCGATACTGACAGTACAACACTTGTTCTATACTAACAGTACAACTTGATAGCAATCAATGTCTTTTTCATTACGCAAGCGATTTTTATAAATATATTCCGTACGCACTTTTTTTAAACTTTTTGCGTATCTAACATTTTAAATGCGTAATTAGTACGCAACAATTATTTTTTTCAATGCGTAATTGGAAATGCGTATTTTACCCGGATATGCAGCTTATCTGGGCCTCTGGCGTTAAGTATCACAGATATGGATCATTGTTGCTGTATATTGCAATACAGAAGTAGGGCCAATGCCCATTACTGGTCAGCTAAGGAGTAACTCCAAGGGTTCAATATGTCTTGATGGTCGATGTTCATAGTCATGTGTTTTGACCGACTATTAGGACGTGACATCTCACCTTTTCTGTACACTTCTTGACCACGTTGGAGAGTTCGGTGACCACCATGTCCACAGCCTGCACGGACGGAACGTTCAGCCTCTGAATCTGTTTCTTTACAATCGTCTCAAAAGCCATGTCAGGGGTGAACAGACCGGTTCTGAGGAAGATGGAATGAGTGAATTAGGATTGCATGTTGATTTCAGTCTGTAAGTCACATCAAGGCATGGTTCGCTTGCTTGTCTGTTTCCCAATGCTGAATTCAACAATATTCTAGCTATTCTGTAAATATTCATGTATGGACCAGACAATCAAGTGACTGCCAGCAACAAACAACTATACTGGGATCCGATAAATAAATTCATCTAGTCTCACCACCCAATTCCATGAAGAACAAGTTCACTTCTTTATCGAATAGATGCAATTTCAGTGTAGATGCTAACACCGTTATCACCTATAGTCCGTTTGGCTCAAAAGCAGACCGATGAATTGTATTCTAACTCAAAAACTAATAAACATAAAATACTCAATGAAACGCTGATCATAATCAAAACATCATACCAACTCTGTGAGGTTTTTGCAGAATTTTTGTCCTAAAAATTAAAAAGTTGTTTAACAATCTATCACTAAAATATTGACACAGTTCACTATTTGTTACGAGGAAGGAGTGCAGAGAAAGGGACAGCCAGGTGTTCGAGAACGGCTGGAGACGGCACAGCACAGGTTAACGAATAAATAACTTTGTCTGTGAACGTGCTTCTCGAACACCTGGCTGTCCCTTTCTCTGCACTCCTCCCTCGTAACAAATAGTGAACTGTGTCAATATTTTAATGATAGTTTGTTAAACAACTTTATTATTTTTAGGACAAAAATTCTGCAAAAACCTCACAGAGTTGGTATGATGTTTTGATTATGATCAGCGTTTCATTGAGTATGTTATGTTTATTAGATTTCGAGTTAGATTGCAAGTCATCGGTCCGCTTTTGAGCCAAATGGACTATATACCAAAACATCTGTCACAGGTCTGACACAACAACTGCTTTGTGCAATGAGGCCCAGGGTATTCAAGTCATTTATGAAATATCTCTCAATGTAACGGTCAGATGTAAACGGGATTAAACCACAAATAAACACCAGGGATCAGAAACTCATAACTAGTGTTGGGAATTGGTTAAAATCTCACAATTGATGATTGGTTCGATACCAACGATCAATCAGCGAAAAAAATTGCTTAGCGTCATTTTTTTAATTTTCTTATTCAGGTTGTAGTTGCAGATAAGTATAAAGAAAAAAACATTTGGTTCTCTGTTGTTTTTTTGTTTTATTTAGAAACTGCACAAATTACATTAATTTCACATCCAGTGGAAAATTTATTCAGTTCCATTGTAACATAAACTTCCAAGATTCTTCAAGAAATATTCAGTCATGACTTTTCAGAAAGTGAAGTGAGTTTTCTAAGAATTAAACACGTTTTCCGGCCCTGACAACGTCCTAGATATGTTCCATCATCAATTATTTCAAACTCTATTACAGCGGTTCCAAAATCGTTTGTGTTCGATTATGAGAAAATGTGATCGATTGCTTGGTCGTTTGGCCACTGCGGCCAATCTTCGAACATTCAATTAATCGGAACACCACTACTCATAGCAGCACCATATCAGAAACATTTCTCTTTTCAAGATGTCTCCATATTCAGACTACTCACCTAATACCATGGATATTTTTAATGACAATGCCAATCTCCCTACGCAGTTCTCTTTCATCAAACTCCATCTGAAAACAAAAGGGAAATACATTGTCGCACGATCAGTATTAACACAGCACATGATGCACAGTTACAAAATACACTACTCAACATTCAATAGGGATATTCTGAGTTTCAAGATGAAGGATTGATCTGGATGCTTGCATACAAATTTGATGCAGTTTTTGCGTGACTTGATGTGTTAATCATGTGAGACATTATTTAATAAAAAAATAATGAACATTAAAATACATTGTCCCACTAAAGAGTAAAAGCAAGCACAGTATCCCTATTAGGAGTTGAGCAATATGGTTCCGACTTCGCGCATTTGGTAGACTAAGGACTCATTTTGTTGTTGGTTAGAGAGAGAAGTGAACCTGCATACAGCAATGACTGACACCTTCACATTCTGTTTATCAAATGCCTTTTGTTTAAACTATGCAATACTTCAAAAATGAAGACACAGTGACACACACACATTTTGCTCCCACACAGAATTGTGTCAGCTCGTCTTCTGGTTCATCATATTGTATGTCCAATGTCATCATATACAGCTTAGCGGGCATAATAGGGTTTTTTATTTATTTTATTAGTGAGTGAGTGAGTATGCCGCTTTTAGCAATATTCCAGCAATATCACGGCGGGGGACACCAGAAATGGGCTTCACACAATGTACCCATGTGGGGAATCGAACCCGGGTCTTCAGCATGACGAGCGAACGCTTTAACCACTAGGCTACCCCACCGGCCCGATCTCTTTTATTCACTGCAGGTAGTTTGAAGATCCATAAATCACTTTCTCGCATAATAAACTACCCAGTATACTCCATACGATAGTCGACGGTTTAATATTTTGAATACTTTATTTTTCATGAGGCAGATTTAACCTTACCTTCACTAACTGGAAGGGAAACCGTTCGTGGAATATTCGGTTAATCTTGGCGCCACCAGACAAGTCTTCTGTATTCACATGGGTCCCACTACCTTCAATATCACGCTCAAAGTCCGTGGAAAACTGGTTGATCATTCTGAAATGGAGAGGGCAAACTGGTTGTCAGAAGATGATCAAAATTGGGAAAGACTTATGATAAATGATCAACATTCTTCAAGTGCTGACAAAAATACATACTGGCCACCTTCATAAAATTGAACAGCTCGTCCCAAACGTATCCAACATACTCACTGCATCATGGCCTTGGTCTTGCGTGAAGGGTCGTCAGGCCGGAAGTTCTTGTACTCGTCGACCTCCTTCTCCATGGACAACATCTGTGTCTGTAGACGGTTGCGCAGCGACGGCAGTGTGTCGCGGATGTGGTTGGTCAGTTGTTGATTCAGCACTTTCTGCAGGAAGGGCGTGCCCATGCGGTCAGCCATGTGTCTGAAATAATCACACAGATCAGGGGAGGTAATGCATTTGTGTTCCCTACAACGTCCGAGAGTTTTGCATGCAGTAAGATGTCTTCACATTGAAGTCAGCTGTCTTCAGTAATTGTTGCTCTGACAAGCAAAAGTCTGACAAAAACTAGACACCGAAGCAGCATAATAGCAGACAACCAAGATGTGTGATAACCATGAGCGAGTTCGGTTTTACGCCGCTTTTAGCAATATTCCAGCAACATCACGGCGGGGGACACCAGAAATGGGCTTCACACATTGTACCCTTGTGGGGAATCGAACCGGGTCTTCGGCGTGACGAGCGAACGCTTTAACCACTTGGCTACCCCACGCCCCGTGATAACCATGAAGTTTATCTTAAAACAAACATGGCTTTGTAAGAAGTCATAGATTAAACTATTACAGAAACTATGGCTGCCATTTTGAATCTTAGAACAAGTAATGGTAGTAGCTTTGAGTAGCCAGTCCAATTGTCAATGCATATTTTTCACAACACGTCTGCGATGACTTCAAAAAATTGAAAAAAAAATCTTGAAATTATCTGAAGAAGAGTATTGACACAATTTCCAGCTGTTTCAACATATTCACCAGTAATAATAATTTGGATATCAGAAGTCATTTGAAACAAACACATTAAATCAGTCAGTTAGTCTGAGCTCTTTTTAAATGAGAGGAAGGGAGGTTACTCTCCACTGATGGTGACAAATCCATCGAAAGGGTATCAAATTCCAGCCGTTATCTCAGTAAAGTAAAGATTCTAGTACTATTTTGGGTTGAGCACAATCTAGGATTCAAACCCACAGGGCAAGGTATCTGCACACAAAAGTCATCGATCTTACCCCCTTAGCCACCATGAAAATATAACAACTGACAGTCTAATCATGTTTCAATTGACTAAAATGCACTGTGTATTCAAAGAGTGAAGCTGCTCATATATTTCGTAAATATATGCTAAATCATGCACAAACTTACACCGATAAAATTTCTTATAAACATACTGTGAAAGCATTTTAAAAACTTAATACTTATTAAGTAACCTTTTCAATTCTCAGTCCACACTGAGCACCACAATGCACACTTATCATCTGGATTCCTAACATGTACATTTCTAAAATGTAGTTTCTGGTATCTCTAAAATCTGTATTCATACATCAGAAAAAGTAAAATATCCTTAATCTAGATGAGTTGATTATTGCTATCAAATATCAAGTTATTAACAAAATTTCATAAGCACTTCAGTCTGTACACAATTCTTGTGGTATTGGTGGGAGTTACCTCCCTTGCCAGAAGGACACATGATAACCATATTACCACTATTAAAGTAAACAAATAATTTGGTCATCCAATGTGGTTTACGGTACAGAAGATTTTACCAGTGTGGTTATAGAACCCAGGAAGTATTCCTCACTCACCTGTACGATGAATGAGACAGAAAGAACTTGCGTTCAGCAGCCAGAGCGGCCCTGATATCCTTCCTGCCCTCGATATCTCGCTGACTGCGGTTCACCACACCGATGTATCCTGTGAAACAAGTCAGTGTGAGATAGAGTTAGTGAGTGAGATGGGTTTGAGGCCACTTCGGAGATTATTTCAGTATTATCAGAGAGAATGAGTGAGTGAGTTTAGTTTTACGCCACACTCAGCAATATTCCAGCTATATGGCGGCGGTCTGAATCGAGTCTGGACCAGACAATCCAGTGATCAGCAGCATGAGCATCGATCTGCGCAATTGGGAACTGATGACATGTGTAAACCAAGCCAGCAACCCTGACCACCCAACCCCGTCAGTCCCCTCTTACGACAAGCATGGGTTACTGAAGGTTCATTTAACCCAGACCTTCATGGTCATTAACAGAGAGAATGCTGTCTCGGTAATTTTGGACATTTGCTGCTTCAGTGTAAGCATGGTGCTGACAAACATATCTGGAAACATATTCCTGGCAATTCCAAGATCTCGAACCCCATCTTAGATTTTTGGCACACTAAGGGACACAGCTCTTCACAGTAAAACATGGCCCTGAGCCCCACAGTATCTCCCAGTATGTATCCAGTCTACTCACCTCGCCGTAGCGGCAGAAGTCTGTTTTCTAGGATATCCCGAGCATCCGTCCCGTCATCCATCAAGTCCAACTTAGTAATCACACCAATCGTTCGTGTTCCTGAAAGTTTACGATTAGAATTAGTTGTCAATACAAATCAAACGTCTAATGCCTCCTTGAATAGTATTTAAGTCATTTGAATGTTCAGTATGCTTCTGAGAAGAAGCTCTGCACTTGCCTATGCTGATTATATTTGAAAGGAGGTGAGGTGAGGTGAAATTGGGTTTAACGTCGTGCTTGAGAATATTTCGCTCATATGACGACGTGCATGCGTGTGTATGTGTATGTGCGGCTGCTTGTACTAGCCCAGACTGAAGCTGGATTTATAGTGCTAGCCCACTGAGATACCATGCCGCAGTGAAGCATGAATACCCCACTCAGACACATTATGCTGACTCCGAGCTGACCAGTCCTTGGTGTACCCATTAATGCCGAGTGCCAGGCAGGGACCAACAAGTACCATATTTTAACGTCTTTTGGTATGACACGGTCGGGAATCGAACCCGCGACCTTCCGCTCTCCGGGAGGACATATTTGAAAGGAAGTATTGTGAGTAAGAGGAGAAACTTCACCATCATTTCTAAAGAAAAGGAAGCTACAGTACAGGGTCCTGATTCACAAAGCTTTCGGAATGTTACGACCTATCGTAACTCTATACTATATCACTGGCTAACACATGTCGTAGTGCTACGAACGCTTCGTGGATGGGTCCAGGATCATGTCTAGAACATGTATCATCAATAGAATTCAGTTTCTGAATTTAAGGGGAGCCCTAAAGACTATGATCTTTTCTTTCATGTTATTTGAACCTACTGGTCCAACCCAATCTTCCAACTCAACCACTGGGCTACGACAAGAGAGAGTTTGGTTTTATGCCGCTTTTAGCAATATTCCAGCAACATCACGGCAGGGGATACCAGAAATGGGCTTCGCACTCTGTACCCATGTTGGCAATCGAAACCCAGGTCTTTGGCATGATGAGCGAACACTGTAACTACTAGGCTACCCCAGCGCCATGGAAAGATATCCCCTGTCTTTCGAGCTCAGTATCGAACAATGGGAATGTCATGTACAAATATAATCCAGGCGGCTGACACAACTTCAGTAATATCTGACCTTGTGGATCTACTTCCTTGGCAATTTTCAGAGCGTCGGAGTTTGCGAGATCTGTGTTGGCTGGTGACACAGCGAGGATGAGGCAGCTCTCCTTGGCGATGAATTCAAACAACATGCTCCTGATCTGCATCTCAATGTCCACTGGCTGGTCGCCAACTGGGACCTTCGTCATACCCGGCAGATCAATCAGGGTCAAGTTGAGCACTGAAACAGGGAGCAGCGCTGTCAACAACAACAACACAACAACAACAAAACAAACCCATAACATCCCTGAAACCAAACTGTGTATAGTTTTCATGATTTCATAAATAGTGAGTTTAGTTTTACGCCGCTTTCAGCAATATTCCCACAATACCACGGCCGGGGACACCAGAAATGGGCTTCACCCATTTGATTACCCAAGTGGGGAATCAAATTAAATCAAACAAATTTTAACACTCTTATCTACTAATATGGTAGATAAATCAACCTTCAACCTTGGCAAAATAAACTAACACAGACTAACTTCGACCTATATTTCTGTCAATGCTTGAAGACAAAACTTTTACTTTACTGCACTCATCACCTCACGTTTTTTATTTCAACTTTTCATTATCAATGATTCGTTTGTTATTTAACACCACACTCTACCCGTGAAGATCCGGGCTAGAATTGATCTTAAGTAACCCGTGTTTGTCGTAAGAGCATCGATCTATGCAATTAGGATACGATGACATGTGTCAACCAATTCAGCGAGCCTGACCACTCGATCCTGTTAATCGCTTCTTACCACAAGCATGGGTGTTGAAAACCAATTCTAGCCTATATAGGATGTTTTTCCTTATCATTTAATTGGAGGTATTCTGCTTCTCAAGAGGAAGGTGTGTGGTTAGATTCTGGGCTGCAATAGTAGTTAAAAGATGGCACTCGTTATTACATACCGTTTGGAGAGTATACCCGCAGGTTGATTGGAATGTTGGAGATACCCTTGTTTTTGCCAGTAACTTTGTCCGTCTCCTCCTCGATCTCCTTCCGTACATCATTGAAGTCGGTGTACTTCCGTCCCTTCTGATGTAGAAATTCAGCATATTCTGAGAAAAAAAAGTACATAAAAAATAACGATGAAAAGAATCGCAGAAATGGCCTGTGTTGTTTCTGTAAACTTCCTGTACAGAATCCTGGTGTACCAGCCACTGTGTATCAGAAAGAGTCCAAAATACAAGTTCCTGGAGATTTGCAGCTACAATATTTGAAACTATTGATTCCTGAAGACTAATCATCTGACTGTGAGGTTACGTCAAGGATTCAGTCTGCGACTTTCTGTAAAAATACAACACACTACGGGTGAACCGGTACGGGACATATTGTGGTACAATGACTTCGGTACTGACATCTAGCGAAGAAATGCATAGATTTTGACAAAATTGTCGATTTCTAGACATTTTAGAAAAGGTTTAAAAAGGTTCATAAAATGACGGTATGGAAACCGAAAATATCATATTGTATTGTCTATCATGATCACCACATTGTTACAGTAAATAAATTGCAAAAGATACCATAACCCAGCTTGTAGCAAACTCAGTGATAACTTATTGTCACTTGATTGGAACTTTTACAAAAAGTATTTGGACTTTTTCTGAGTCCCTGTGGATGCGTTAATAAATTTTATGCATCCATTATCAATTTTAATGTGTATAGGACGCAGGGATTCGCATCCTGTAAATCCCTGTCCAGTTCTTATCCAATCAACCTGCTACAACATGAGTGAGTGAGTTTAGTTTATATTCAGCAATATTCCAGCTATATAGCGGCGGTCTGTAAATAATCGAGTCTGGGCCAGACAATCCAGTGATCAACGTGAGCATCGATCTGCGCAATTGGGATACTATGACATGTGTCAACCAAGTCAGCGAGCCTGACCACCCGATCCCTTTAGTCGCCTCTTACGACAAGCATGGGTTGCGGAAGACCAATTCTAACCCAGACCGTCACAGTTTGAGACAAGCATGGGTTGCGGAAGACCAATTCTAACCCAGACCGTCACGGTTTGAGACAAGCATGGGTTGCGGAAGACCAATTCTAACCCAGACCGTCACGGTTTGAGACAAGCATGGGTTGCGGAAGACCAATTCTAACCCAGACCGTCACGGTTTGAGACGAGCATAGGTTGCGGAAGACCGATTCTAACCCAGACCGTCACGGTTTGAGACAAGCATGGGTAGCGGAAGACCAATTCTAACCCAGACCGTCACGGTTTGAGACAAGCATGGGTTGCGGAAGACCGATTCTAACCCAGACCGTCACGGTTTGAGACAAGCATGGGTTGCGGAAGACCGATTCTAACCCAGACCGGCACGGTTTGAGACGAGCATGGGTTGCGGAAGACCGATTCTAACCCAGACCGTCACGGTTTGAGACAAGCATGGGTTGCGGAAGACCGATTCTAACCCGGACCGTCACGGGTAACCTGCTGCAACAAAGCATGGTCAGTGCTGAGTGGAGTCAAAGTACAATATTTGTTATCAACCCTAATACTGTGACAGAAATGACGTAACATGTCTAACATCATTCTGCTTATTCCAGTCTTATTTTGTATTTTTATTATTTAATGTTTTCATATCAATGCCTTTCTTTTGAGAATTGGGAGAAACGTTTCAATGCCTCAGTCAGCAATATTCTAGCTGTCACAGCAAGAGAAATTTGTGGCATTTGACTGTGTAACCATTGCTACTAAACAGTAAACTCTCAAACATATGACATGTCCTTTCTGTTTGTAATCAGACATAAACCAGTTGTGAGTGAGTTTAGTTTAGTTTTATGCCGCTTTTAGCAATATTCCAGCAATATCACGGCAGGGGACATCAGAAATGGGCTTCACTCATTGTACCCATGTAGGAAATCGAACCCGGGTCTTCAGCGTGACGAGCGGACGCTTTAACTACTAGGCTACCCCAGCAAACCACATTTACCAGGACGCACGAACAGTTTAATTTCTTTGTATTAATAACCTAACGACTGGTTTTATTTACAGACACTAGAGATGATCAGCCATGATAATTCAAATAATCTTTCTTAAATATATTCCAGATAAAACCCTTAATGTCTTTGACATATTTAATTCAGAATTGAAAATAATTTTAAGGAAACAAATGACAGCAGATTATTCTGTTATCTGTGATAAACATTAATATTTGATATTCCAGCAAATCCTTTGACAAAGTTCATTCATATCAACTTCGTTCTTGTTTGATATTTAACTCGGACACATGATAAATCTCCATATCAAGCTCACGAACACATGGTAACTTATAATATTTGATATTCCAGCAAATCCTTTGACAAAGTTCATTCATATCACACGCCTATTACGCCATAAATAGATTAACATTATAATGGCTTTCAATGAGGAAATCTTCAGAAATGAATTCAAAAGAATGAAACTGCAGGAAAATTCTCTCCACCCTGGAGAATATTATTTCCAAAGTAACATGGAAACACTAAAGAGAGTGCAGAATAACAGGCAACAAGATGGCATCAAAACTGCTGGAAGCATGTCTGAGGGCAGGTTCGGAACTCTCCACAGTAATTACAACAACAGGGTAAACAACATGGAAACAGCACATACCTGCTCTGTTGTTGATGAGCTGTAGAACTAATGGCCTTCTTGTCACAATGCCCGAACCTCTCGGCAAGAAATCTCTGAAAATAGACCACAATATATTATTCATCGTGTTCACGTGGAACACTTCAAGCTGGAGCAGAAAAAGGATAGTCTGGTTTTGCCAGAAGGTTCTTATTCCAGCATGTCCAGTTACCATGGTAACCAGAGTTTGATATAAAAGTCATTTTTTAACTATCTTGGAAGCATCATTAGATAGAGAAATACAAAAACTAAAACAACGTGTAATTGAATGTTTCAACCATGATCATGATCTTCCAGTCAAACATATTATCACATCACATGACAATATTTCATTAATAACATTTTGTTTGTAAAAAACACACATCATCATTGCAAATGAGCTCAAGAAGTGGATTTCCTGGACATCGAAATGTAAGTACTCCATTTCAGAGTTTGGGATATTTCAGTGACTTTTAATTAGTTGCCTTATAGTCTGTGAGAACTAGGACTTTTACCATGTTTACAATTTACTCAATGATTCTGGTGAATAAAACCATAACCAAGTTAAATATAATCATGATCATAAAAGAACTGAATATTAATGAAGTGTTAACAAAGGTGAGGTGATACTGAAACAGTACAACTTGAGCGAGAATATCGATGTCATTTCATTATGGCACGGCATTTTTATAAATATATTCCGCGGCGCATTTGTTTTAAACCCAGACTCCAACATTTTAAATAGTAATTAGCCCACTGAGATTATTTTCAATGCATAATTTGACATTTCATGAATAACCCACTCAGATACATTATACTGCCTCTGGCAAATGATCATAAGAAGTCCTTGTTGTACCCATTAATGTAAATAGCATTTCAGAGTTTGGGACCAACCAGTGACTTTTAATTATTTTAATAGTCTTTGAGAACTAGGACTTTTACCATGGGATCGAATTCACTCAACCATTCGTGAATAAAACCATAGCGGAGGCGGCCTGTTAACAAAGGAGTGTTTTTACTTGAATTTGGGTTTTATTTATCAAAAGCGAGACGTGAAAAATGGAATATATCCAAGCCAGGCAGGATACTTGGAAACACTTTCACAGGTTTATTTTGACACTAATGTTGTCACTGGTCACTGTCATGATAAATGAACACTATCATTATGGTCAAAACTTGTCAAATAATTTATTTTGTTGTTGTTTCACTAAACTTAATGAATAATACATCAATCCTGACATGTAATTGTATTCATTACCAAATATTCGTATTTGTTATCTAATATTCATTATACGCATCGCCTTTGCCTCAGTGGATGCGTTGCAGCGTCATGAGAACATGAATAAACCACACAGCCACTGATCCTTCTGATGTGAATCAAAATGCAGCAATAAACATGATAATCATCATAACAATAAATCACAACATTTCCAACAGCACCTGTGTCTAGCACACACGGGGCGGTGGGGTAGCCTAGTGGTTAAAGCGTTCACTCGTTACGCTGAGGACCCGGGTTCAATTCCCCACATGGGTACAATGTGTGAAGCCCATTTCTGGTGTCGCCCGCCGTGATATTGCTGGAATATTGCTAAAAGCGGCGTAAAACTAAACTCAATCAGACAGCAGTGTTGTTTCTAATTCCTGTGTTACCATAGTTACACAGAAATTTATTAAAATTTAAAAATAACCTCACATCACATGAACATGATGATGGAAACAAATCACTGACTTTATGGTCAGGATATTGTGGTGGCGTGTGGTCCTGTGCTCAAAGCTCAGGTCACAAATCGGTGAAGTTAAGCAGCGTCGAGCTTGGAGAGTCCTTGGATGGGTGACCGTGTTTGGCAGCTTGACTCCTGAGTCTAGGACTTGAGTCCTGCCCCACAACAAAGCACATGTGACACATGTGGTCTCACCTTAGGCAAGTGAGTTTGTTCAAAATTGTCTCTGTTCACCCAGGAGGAAAATGGGTACCCGGTGGAAAAGGTCATGTGACTATAACCTTCTAGCGCCTAACAGACAGCTTGGGTTATCCGGGGTAATAATGTGCTGTGCCTTGATTGTTAGCGCTATGAGCATACCTAGTGTGGAGTTTGGCGCTATATAAATGGACACATTATTATTATTATTATTATTATATTAAGATTAATTGAGATTAATCAATTATTTATACAAGTTATTGATACAACACTAACGACAACCAGGACTGCCAGGATTCATGGCACACACAACAATGTTATTGTAGACAACCAGAATCTGGCACACCAATAGATGATAGCAAGAGCTTCATCCAGTCAGCCGGGTGAAACATTAAAATTACAACATATTAGGTAATTCAGTCTTAAAACAGGAAGCTATGTATCAAGCATGGGGTTCATTTTCATATTCAACATTAGCGCTAAATCAACTCCTGTTAGTTAGCATTGTCCATTTCTCTGTTACATAATCATCTATTCCTCTGTTTCTCATTTCAGTCGAGCCCTCTGTTAGTTCATAGCTGTTACTTTGTAGTCAATTTCTGTTAGTTCACACAGTCAAGTCGTCGGTTAGTTAACAGTCAATTTCTCAGTTAGTTCTGTTAATTTCTCTGTTACTTCGGTCAATTTCTGTTGGTTCACAGTCAATTTGTCCACTTCTTATCTATCATTGTTTTCGGTTGATTCAGTCAATCGCTATTAGTTCAGTCAAATTCTGTTAGTTCACACAGTCAAGACCTCCGTTACTTAACACTATAACAGTCAATTTCTCTGTTAGTTCAGTCAATTTCTCTGTAAGTTCACACAGTCAAGCGCTCCGTTACTTAACACTATAACAGTCAATTTCTCTGTTAGTTCTGTCAATTTCTCTGTAAGTTCACACAGTCAAGCGCTCCGTTACTTAACACTATAACAGTCAATTTCTCTGTTAGTTCTGTCAATTTCTCTGTAAGTTCACACAGTCAAGCGCTCCGTTACTTAACACTATAACAGTCAATTTCTCTGTTAGTTCTGTCAATTTCTCTGTAAGTTCACAGTATAACAGTCAAGCTCTGTTACTTAACACTATAACAGTCAATGTTACTTAACACTATAACAGTCAATTTCTCTGTTAGTTCAGTCAATTTCTCTGTAAGTTCACACAGTCCGTTACTTAACACTATAACAGTCAATTTCTCTGTTAGTTCAGTCAATTTCTCTGTAAGTTCACACAGTCAAGAGCTCCGTTACTTAACACTATAACAGTCAATTTCTCTGTTAGTTCAGTCAATTTCTCTGTAAGTTCACACAGTCAAGCGCTCCGTTACTTAACACTATAACAGTCAATTTCTCTGTTAGTTCAGTCAATTTCTCTGTAAGTTCACACAGTCAAGCGCTCGTTACTTAACACTATAACAGTCAATTTCTCTGTTAGTTCAGTCAATTTCTCTGTAAGTTCACACAGTCAAGAGCTCCGTTACTTAACACTATAACAGTCAATTTCTCTGTTAGTTCAGTTCAGTCTTAACACTATAACAGTCAATTTCTGTTAGTTCAGTCAATTTCTCTGTAAGTTCACACAGTCAAGCGCTCCGTTACATAACACTATAACAGTCAATTTCTCTGTTAGTTCTGTCAATTTCTCTGTAAGTTCACACAGTCAACTCCTCTGTTTAACACTATAACAGTCAATTTCTCTGTTAGTTCAGTCAATTTCTCTGTAAGTTCACAGTCAACTCCTCTGTTAACACTATAACAGTCAATTTCTCTGTTAGTTCACAGTCAACTCCTCTGTTACTTAACAGTCAATTTCTATGTTAACACAGTCAACTCCCCCGTTATTTACTCTGGTCAATATGACTAATAAATCCATGCATACAAAAGAACTTAATGACACAAAAATAATTGCTAAAGAATCAATATGTACAGCCATAACATTCTCAATCTCCCTAATCAGACAATTAGATCCTGTGAATCCTTGAACTGACAATATCACTGGCAACCCTTTACAAATTCCCCACGATTATTTATTTATGCCAGTAGTTTCTTTCAAGTAGGTTATAGCATCAGTGTTAATTTTCTAAGTGGGTTCTGCTATGCAGGGGGTGTTTACGTTAATCAGTCAGCTAATCAATAATCTCCTCCAAAATTCTTCCACCTTTTTCTGCATCACAGAATTTTCATTCTCCTGCCATGTCTGGCACTATACTGAAGACTCTGTCCAAGTTTATCTGCCGCTAGGCAAGTTCTTCAATTCATCAAATGAGAATTCCAATTTGTTTGTTGAAACAGCGTCCCACTTTATCATGGGACACAAACAGGTCCATTCATTTAACAGGATTCCAGTATTTCCTACCGTCCTTTACCACTTCAACAGACGAAACTCTGGATCAATTTTCAAAAGAATTTGTTTTACTCACTTCTTGATACTTCCATAAAGATTTTGATAGGAAAAGATAAGTTTGTTTCATATGTTTCTTCAAAGGTTGGAAACTTTTCTGAGCTCTATGATTTCATAACATACTACCAATCCTCAACGAAAACAATTTTTCTTTTTTGAGCTCATTTTACTTCATCTTATTCAGCATAAGTTTGTTGATGTTGCTTCACTTATTTGAGAAATAAATATATTTATTCAGCATTATTGGTATAAAAGGGAAGGATGTTTACCGTTTGTGCATTATAAGTTACGAGTTACATTTTTCAGTCAAATATGTTGTAGACTCCCAAATCTTGAATGCACTCGAGTCTTACCACAACTGATTAAGGGGCATCAGGGTAGCCCAGTGGATAAAACATTTGCTCATCAAACAGAAGACCTGGGTTCGATTAAGCAGATGGGTACAATGTGTGATATTGCTGGAATAATCAAAATCTATTTTGCATAAGGCTTGTTGATTATGTTGGTATACAGTTTAATGCTGCATCTGTGCAGAATTTGAGTTTTAGGCCAGTGAACAATTGAGATGGAACCAGACAATCATGTGACGGACAAACACAGTGAACTCTCATCACTTAGCACAGTCAACTCATGTCAATTAGACAGTCAACTCCTGTCAATTAACACAGTCAACTCCTGTCAATTAACACAGTCAACTCCTGTCAATTAGCACAGTCAACTC